CAAATATATATATATATATAATCCTGTTCAAATTTGCCCACGTATCATCATACGAAATTAAATACATACAGTTCACTTCTGTCGGCTTTTGATTGAATGGTTATAGATGAGAGAGACATCATAGACGGCATTCTGGGCTCCTTGGGCTTCGCCAAAGCGTAGGTTTCTAAAAGTTGTATGGTGCCAGTTGTAGAGGGTGAAGTGGGGCATGCTATCGGCTTTGAGTTGGTTGAGTTTGTTGAGTTGACAATAAGTCTTTCTTCGTCTTCATGGATATTGTCGAACAAATCGAGGCAGTCGAATCTGAAGTCGTCTATATTAGCCATTGGTATCAAGTCCCAATTCGGGAGATCATTGTTGGGGCGAGGTGACACTGTATGAATTTCCATAGTAACAACGGAACAGTCAAAGCCTAATACTAGATGAATAGTGTCCCTGGTACAGCTTGAAATAGTGTTTCTGTTATACCTGGTCACTCATGTCTTTTATTGATATGAGTGCACATTTTGCTTAGCCAAAGCGTACACTACCCCACTCACAAAGTGTCGCAGCAGTAGAGAGCACGAACATACTCCGAATCCGCTCCCGCATAACAAGCCGAACGGAATAAAGCATTCCATATATTAAACCCATAGTGAAAGCTTGTACTCCAGAGGGTCGTGCTCGTTAGATTACTAATGAACAGGACCACTGAGTATATCTGTATCTACTCCGCTGAGTGTGTGTAGCGGGTCTCTGCCTCGGTATATAGTTGCCAGAGTCAGGATAAAATCAAGCATAGATTTTAAGATCTGTCTCGGCACAGTTACCGCAGCAGTGGATCGTGGAGTTAGACAGTGCACTGAACCGAACCACTCATGCATTGAAACAATGATAGAGTAATGAATACACATAGGACTAAGTGTGCGTACCAGATACTACTGAGTGCACTGCAATTCTGCCACTCAAATACTAAAACTTAAACTTTGCAAGCCCCAATGTTCAGCGTGCTTCACATATGTTCGAAAACATATTAAATTGAATAAACATGTCTCGTCGGTCGTCCCTGCTTATCAGCAAGATCAGTATATGTACCGAACTTTTTTCAGAGGGGTTTTCACTTTCTAGGGTATTCAGCCTTTTGTTGACTCCGCAAGTTTTCCATAAAATGAATAGGTGGATATAGTGTTCTCTTATTGGATGCGCATATCATAATATGATATTTGGTAATATTTACACATACATATGAGTGTAATTTGTCTAATTGAATGCTATATGGTAAAAAAAATAAAACGCGTATGAATTGTGTGTGTTCAATGAGATATGAACGTACGATACGGCACGGACAAGATAGACGGACAAAGGAGAGCTGCTCTGCGTAGGTCCTGCCACATTGTTGTTCACATTATATAGCCAAACGTATAGCTTGTTTTTTGTCTACTTGAACATATTATTTGATTTGATATACTTGGATGTAATGTTAGTCTCAATGTAGGAAAACATATTGTTGGTTGAATATAGTCACACATTATGAGCAATCTACTATCATGCCCGGGGGCTTACTCTGGTAGCGATTACTCGGATATGTCCGACGCTGCTGGGTTTAGTGGTGCTGTTAGTACGAACGAGGTAGAAAACAATCTTGTCAATGATATGGAAGATATGAATTTGAGAGACCCCGATTCTATGAGGAGGGGCAGAATAAACAACACAATATATAAGGAAGATATACTGACTTCTCCTCTTCTGGGAAAAGATGTGGAGAGAACTAAAGAAATATTGCAGAAAAAGCTACTTACGAACACATCATCTAACACACAAGGTACTGGATATGGTGCCAGTTGTACATTTATATTTATATATAC